TGGTTTATGCATGCACAATTTACCCTGTACAAATGATGCAACCCGTTTGTGTGTGGTTTCACTGTTATTAACATGGGTGATATTCATATTCCCTTTCCCTTGACTCCGATGCTTTAGAATTTTACAAAAATCCATTATCATGAGGTGATATTCATATTCCCTTTTCCTTGACTCCTGCCCGTGAGCAGGTTCAAGACGCTCTCCTCACGCTCCTCTGCATCGTCGTGCAAGCATGTTCCCTCATATGGTATGCCATGTGCCCTCATATGGTATGCCATGTGCCCTCGTATGGTATGCCATGTGCCCTCATATGGTATGCCATGTGCCCTCATATGGTATGCCATGTGCCCTCATATGGTATGCCATGTGCCCTCATATGGTATGCCATGTGCCCTCATATGGTATGCCATGTGCCGTGAATGGTATGCCATGTGCCGTGAATGGTATGCCATGTGCCGTGAATGGTATGCCATGTGCCGTGAATGGTATGCCATGTGCCGTGGATGGTATGCCATGTGCTGTGGATGGTATGCCATGTGCCGTGGATGGTATGCCATGTGCCGTGGATGGTATGCCATGTGCCGTGGATGGTATGCCATGTGTCGTGGATGGTATGCCATGTGCCGTGGATGGTATGCCATGTGCCGTGAATGGTATGCCATGTACCGTGAATGTCATGACAGGTTGCATGAATGTTATGCCATGTACTGTGTGGGTGTTATGGCATGTACTGTGGGGGTTTTATGGCATGTACCATAAATGGTAGGCCATGTATCGTGTACGCCATTATGATTGGTGCAAGCATGCGGCCTTATAGGGTATGGCATGCGCTCTTTCATGGTAGGGCGTGTGCCACATATGGTTTGACATTCGCCCTTCTATGTTCTGACTTGACCACTCACATCACATGGTTTGCATGCATGTAACGAGGTGACTTTTGAGTCGACTCAAAAGTCACTCACATCACATAGTTTGCATGCATGTACCTAAGCATCTTCCCATGTTCCTTCTCTTCGGCCTCATCTCAGTACTGTTGCACTCTTTCCCTTCCATGTGCTTTATTCCTTTCCCTTGTATCTCTCGCTTCACTTCGCCCTCTCTTTGTTTCACTTCCCTTCCTCTATTTCCTTCTCTTCGTAAGCGAATCCACTTATCTGTGTTCACACAAGAACCTCTCAAGTGTTCATTTCCCATCCTTCTCCCCCCTTTCTTTCCTTCATCCCCTCTCTCTCTTTCCTTCTCCCCCCCTTCTCTTTCCGTTCCCATCCCTTCATTTCACATCAGGTACTCGTTAAGCTACATCCCCTTGGCGCAATCGTCGGCTAAAAGGTGCATGCGCATGTGCTACGAGGCGGAGTTTTGAAGCATACAGAGATTTTGATTTTCCAGATAGTTCTGCACTACAGACTAATAGCAGATCTGCTATGTACAGTTAATAACATTCTGTAGTCTGTGTTCCTCATATACACAAATGTGCTCATTGTTAGGCATGCAATAGTGGATGAATATGTACAGTACGGTAAGTGCCACAAACTGTATCCTGTTATAACCGTTCAACAACTGATAGGAAATTCCTATACAGTCCTGGGCATCACCCCACGTAATGCTAATGATGACATGCCACGGCCGCAAGTCCCCCGTCCGCAGGGCGCAACCACCGCACGCGGCGGACTTGACGCAGCAGTAGTCGCCTAAGAAGGATTAACTAATGCCCGTACGACTTCGGCGCTTCAGCCGTCAGAATCCATGACCAACGTTATCCGCATACTGGCTGCATGCGCGATTCGAACCGCCTCAGATTCTCAAAAGACAACCGCGTAATTCGGTTTGGATCTGGTTATGGTCGGGGTGCAAGCTAGCATCAGCACCACGACCATCACAAGCACGGGGAGCAGCAGCAGCTCGTCCGGCGGCGGGCCGACGCGCGGCAACATCGCTGGCAGCAGCAGCACCACCACCATAGCCACCACCGTTACAAGAAACACCGACGACCAAGGCGCAAGAATCTGCGGATCCGCCGCTGCCGCCGCCGCCGCTTCCGCGAGGTCGTCCGCGCACACGCCGCTTCCGCGACAGCTCTTTCTCTGCGTCAAACTTGCGTCCGCGGCTGAACTGGTGGCGCAACTTTGGGGGCCTTCTGTTGCCGCTTCCGCCATGGTCGCGTCCGCGCAATTGTCTCCGCGGAAGCTGGCGCAAGGAGCGGCGGAAGCATGTGCTGAGGGCTCGCGCATCAGCAGGCGACTCAAACCCCTCTGCGATCCGCCGCTTTCGCCGCTCCGTCGCGCCGACACCCCCGCGAAATCATCCGCTCGGTTCCCGCCAATTAAGCTACCAGTAGCGGCGGCTCGGCTTCTAATGTGCGTCCCGGAACCGCACTCCCGCCAGCTTCCGTGCCCTTCAGTTCTAGGAACGTCTGCCTTCACGCCAAAATGGCCAAACGCGGCGCCTCTACTACGCTCCGAACGAACCGATGAGGGCTGCGTGAATTGCGGAAGCTCTTGAAGATCAGCACCGGCCCTGGTGCCTACGTGCGCGTGAGAGGCGACATACGCGTTCGTAGCCGCTGCGACGGATTCGGTATAGCCAGTGGCGACACTTGAGCATCGGCGGAAATTCCGGCTGCTACCCGTGCTCGGGGGGTCGCTTTGGGGGCTGAGATTCGGCGGCGACAGTGCGTGCGACGGTGTGTGCGACAGCGCGTGCGACAGTAGCGATTTTCCGCTGGCGCCGCCGTGCATGGAGCTACCGGGAGATGAGTCGCTGGAACCGCCGTGAAACGCGGTGATGAAGCCACGTGGATCCTCCAAGACGCGCCGCGTGTGGTCGTTGAGAGTTGGGGCTGCGGCTGACGACAATGGTGTGTTGGATATGCACATTTTGCGAACGGCTGTAATTTCTTCGTCTGAAACCTGAACACTGCTAGTCCAGCACAGGAATGAAAGGCAAGTGGGTTGTCGAGTCTACAACATAAAGATCGAGAAAGCCGATTCTAAGCTTTAGTAGAATCTGGTAGATGGTGCTGCTGACGCTTTGAAAAAATGGCGATGATACGTGTCATTAGGGATTGGAGTTGGGAAGTTGCTCGAGAAAGAATGTTTTACCTAATCATGGAAATGCGGCGAGATATCACCATGCATGCACTGCAGATGGAAAACGAGAAACTGTGCTCTGCTCAACGAAGAACTGCTTTTTGAACGGTCAACGAGATTGCGCGGATGGAATGGAAGCCTTGAGCACGTGGAAGGTGAGAAGAACTGTTCTGAAGTGGAGCTTCTGCCGTGTCAGTTGAGTTGAAAAGCGTAAACAAAGTATGTTTTGTGGGATTCAACGGCTTTTGATACGGTGATGCGAGCATGATGGTTGGCTTTCATGCTCTTTTGATGCGCTGGATGTTGCCATCGATGTGCGCTGTACCTAGGGAACGCGCGTGGACTGTTGCGCGTGGTACCGCCCTTGGGGTGCCTTTTGGTGGGAGAGCGGGTGCGGCGGTGGCTCGCCCCGCCAGACTGTGCCACCCAGCTCTCCCCTCCACAACCACGAGCGTAACACGAGCACAAACCAAGCGGGCCACGGTCTGCGATTTTGACAAGAGTGAGGCATTGTACACCTGGTCCGCGGTATTTTAACCGCCGGTATCGTAACCAAGTTTGTCGGCACGCTGGGCGTTTCTTGTTGGGTGGCCAGAAATCGCTGTTCACACTTGACCGAACCAAGTTGCAGATTGCCAAGCCTTTTTTTGATATTTCAGCTGGCGCCTTCCACGTGGCAAGCGAATTTCCCCATCCGAATTTTCCAAAAAGAATCGTCACCGTCGATGATTTACTTTCCCGACTCTGGAACATTCCAGATGGCGAAAAGAGCCGAATTGCTCCTTTTGAGTAGTGCTGTCAAAACTTTCCATGCTGTTCAGATATTTGGTGGTGAAAATAATGACCGAAATTTTGCACCCTTATCTTCACCACGGCCAGATAATCCAAAATCCTGCTACCCATTTTCGCGCGGTTAAAATACCGCGGACCAGGTGTATGGAGAACATCGCGGGGCATTTGGGAATTTGGGAAACTTGTCATGAAGATGGTGGGAGGTGGATGTACAAATGGTTGGATGGAAACTGGAAGCGGGTGCCATACAGCAGTTCGAAGCTCAAAGGCCTCGGAGAGTTGGGCACATTTGGCTGAAACCGACTAGAGGTTGTGTGTAGTAGTATGTTAAAGCCGCGGTGCAACTATCTTAGGAACAGTGTCAAACCGGGTTTTGTCTTGTTCCGTACTGGTAGTCAATTGGCTAGCGAGAGTGTAAGTCGTGTTGCGATGAAAACATCTAAGGTGAATGTCGCGAACCTCGAAAGGAAAAGTGGGGGGGAAGGGGTTGGGGGGAAGGAAAGGGGGGAACACACACGAAACGGGAAACGGGACCACATCAACACCCCCATACTCCCTTTCGCTGATTGTTCTGCCAATAACACCTCCACATTGCAAAACGAGAAACCTTATGTTCCAAAAAAGCTGCGCAAAATACCAATTTCACTTTCAAGTTTTATTTTGGTTTATTTATCCATCCATTTGCAAGAGTAATATTTCTAATGGGGAGAAAGAACATCAGCTGTACAGATGTGCAAGACTTGGAATGTCATATTGAAATCCTTATTATGCTAAGGATAAAAGCAAACATGGCATCATCCAAGGAGAGCAGATTTTTACACTCCGATCCACTATTGGTGCAGCTGTCCATTTGCAGGGAGGAGGGGGGAGGGGAAAGGGGGGAGGGGGGGGGGGGGAGGTGGGGAAGGGAAGGAAACGTTGCACATTATTGAAGAATGTTAGGTAGGGAAATTGAAGAGAGCATGGAAACTGAGATATGATAGACAGCCTTCAGTGGCCAAGCAAAGCTGGTACTGTCGGCTGGGCTGGACGAGAGAACGTAGTGGAAAGGGAAGGGACGGTAGTGGGGGAAAGCAAGGGACAGGGGAGGGGGGAAAGGGATGGCTGAGAGAAGCGTGAATGGTGGGAGAGGACAGTAGGAAAGGAAGGGATGTGAGAGAGGGGGAGGAAGGGTGGGAGGGAGAGAGGACAGGGGGAAAGGGAGAGAACGACAGGGGGAAAGGGAGAGGCGGACAGGGAGAAATGGAGAGGAGGACAGGGGGAAAGGGAGAGGAGGACAGGGGGAAAGGGAGAGGAGGACAGGGGGAAATAGAGAGGAGGACAGGGGGAAAGGGAGAGGACAGGGGGAAAGGGAGAGGAGGACAGGGGGAAAGGGAGAGGAGGACAGGGGGAAAGGGAGAGGAGGACAGGGGGAAAGGGAGAGGAGGACAGGGGGAAAGGGAGAGAAGGACAGGGGGAAATAGAGAGGAGGACAGGGGGAAAGGGAGAGGAGGACAGGGGGAAAGGGAGAGGAGGACAGGGGGAAAGGGAGAGGAGGACAGGGGGAAAGGGAGAGGAGGACAGGGGGAAAGGGAGAGGAGGACAGGGGGAAAGGGAGAGGAGGACAGGGGGAAAGGGAGAGGAGGACAGGGGGAAAGGGAGAGAAGGACAGGGGGAAATAGAGAGGAGGACAGGGGGAAAGGGAGAGGAGGACAAGGGGAAAGGGAGAGGAGGACAGGGGGAAAGGGAGAGGCGGACAGGGGGAAAGGGAGAGGAAAACAGGGAGGGCACTGGCCAAGCGAAGTTGATGCTGAGGATCGGGCAAGGGATCGGAAAGGGGGAGGCATTGGAAAGGGGGAAATTGGATGGGACGGGAGGTGACAGGGTGGGACGCGAGATGCTTCGCCACCGTCGCACAGATGCTTCGCTCCGCTGCTCGCTATCGTCGCCCTGGTGCTCGCTATCGTCGCCTTGGTGCTCGCTATCGTCGCCCTGGTGCTCGCTATCGTCGCCCTGCTGCTCGCTATTGTCGCCCTGATGCTCGCTATCGTCGCCCTGGTGCTCGCTATCGTCGCCCTGGTGCTCGCTATCGTCCCCCCGCTGCTCGCTATCGTCGCCCCGCTGCTCGCTATCGTCGCCCCACCGCTCGCTATCGTCGCCCCGCTGCTCATATGCGACCACCGATATCTAGCTATCGTCGCCCCGCTGCTCGCCACCGTCGCACCCATTCCTGCCTGTCGCTGCCGTTGCGCCTTTGCTACCGCAGATACATGAGGAATGGAGGGGCGGGAGAGGAATAAGGACGGCAACAGAGGAAAACGAGCGCAATGCGCTTCGAATACGACAAAAAAGGTGTTTACGAGGTAGGAAATTGCGCAGATATTCGTGAGCACATCAATAGACCATGAAACGCGAGAGATCTTAGCGGAAATGGCTCTGCGTAGCTCGGGAAACTTACTTCAAGTTAGTAAGAACCTAGTTCAAGCGTGAGAGTTTGCCGAGTTTGAGTTGTTTTGAGTTCAAGTTTGAATTTTCAAGTTTGCTGCCTGCGCTCCCCCTCATCTCGTTGAGCGGAGCTTTTCCCCGAGCCCTCCCCCGTTTCCCCCCCCACACATCATACTGCGAAGGACTTTTCCGCACGCCCTTCCCCCGCTGGCAGAAACCTCTCCCTGCTCGCTTTCCTGTGTATACTGGGTTACGCGGCTTTCAAACTATAATAGTTTGAACTGGAGCCGGGATATCTGCACCACGGCTTTAAGGGTACCTTAGAGCGTGTTACGTACCCCTTATTTTGGGGCCTGGTCGCGGTTGCCTAAAACGGATAGGTTGGGTTGAACGAAGGGTTACCAGATTACCCGAGAGTGCACAGTGTACAGTAAAGGACGTGTGTACCAAGGCACTCTCACACTCGGTCGAGGCGACCATGTAGTCAAGCAACCGGCTGGTCGCGCCCGCATTCTGTACAACCAGGTCCAGGCAACCAATCCGCAACGTACCGACCTGGTGCGCAACCGGGGGTAAACGAAAACATTGCGGGCAAGTTGCACTAACGTGATTCGATGTGACTGGTGAAAGAAACTTTTGCATCGAAGTTTGACCACTAATACTGATGCAGTAACTGTTCGGTCTACCCCAAATACTATCTGCATGGTTGGGTCCCAAAAACCGGCGGGTGGTACATTTCCAGGTTGCCTACTGGGTCCCCAACTGGCCAAATTTACAGACCGGCCGACCCGACCAGTCAGGTTGGGTCGACTTTTAGAGGCAACCGGGCCCTGCCACCAAAATAAGGGGTACGTAACACGCTCTTAGTCTTGTACTGTAACGCAGACAAGGAACCACAGCTCGTGCTATTTCTTCCACAACGCACGTGACGCGTGTCATGGCATCATTGGTTGCAGTCATGCGTTGGCATGATGTCGAATGAGTTTCCGCCGTCGCTCTTAACCCCACAGTTGGGAGTCTGTCTCAACGATGGCGGAATGAGGGGAGGGGAGGGGAGGGGAGGGGAGAGGAGAGGGAAGGAAGCCAAATTCACGAGGAAGTGATGGATGGTGTTGGCTTGCACTGCCAATTTCCTGCACAACGCGCAAGAGAGTGGGCGAGAAAACGGATGGATGGACACGTCAGATAAGCACTGCACTTCCACACACAACTTTCAAAAACAACAGACTGGGACGCGGTTCTGCAACAGTTCATCTGTTGGTACGAGCACAGATCATCGCATCTCAAACAAAAGTTTTGAACAGTAAAATAATTCCCAGGGAGTGCTTAAATCACCCACAAAGCGTTTCGAACATGTTCCGAACTCGGTGCTTGAGCAATTCATCACTGATTTCCACAGCAAATGACACCATTTTTTGGAGTAGATTGCTAAGATTGTGCGAAACAAAACAAAATCTGATGGTAACTCCTGCCTGAACCACCACAAGTTAAATACGCCTCCCAACCTCTTTATAGAAAGCACTGTGGCGTACCAAGCAGGATACGGCCAGTCCAATTAGCACGCAGAATTGCTGCCAGCTAGATCAAGATGGGTCATCCATACGGGCGAATCTGTGTACGTATTCTGCTGCACTTGCAGCATCTCTCGGTCACGTGATGTGCAATCCCAAGATATGGCCCGCTCACTTTCTTCGAGATTTCTGTGCACCATACCAGCCAGGTGAATGCTCCTACAATGTCTCAATCAACTCAAACCTGCTCAATTCAGAGGCTGGAACCCCCTCCAAACTACAGTTCCTCCAATTTTCGATAGCCAAAAGAAGTCCGAGAAAACGAAATCTTTCTACCTACTAAGGCTTCAAAATAATTGCAGGTGGCTCCTCATTTTGTGACCATGATGAGGCTGGATTAAGACCATCTATGTTGTCGTCCTCATTGATACAGTTCTCACTACAATTCGTACAGCATGGAAGCATAGACCGTAACTACCACCCAAACAAACCAAATCGATAAACGACACTCAACAACAACCCAACACCCTACCTCAAGGGAAAAGATCATGCCCCTCACAACCCACGTTCCTTTGCACCCTCCTCACCAACTCCCACCCCCTCAACCCCCTCCCCTTCCCCCTCCCCCACCCCCTCAGATCCGTGCGTCTGGATTAAGACCATCCAAATATGGGCCTTCAGTCAATGAAAATATTATGTTCATAACCCCTTCTAAAATATTATTTTTTTTAAACACACATAGTGTTTTTCAAAATTGTGTATTGTGATGTTAAAATGATAGGTGAAGGGAGGCTTAGGATCCATGGCTAGGAGGTGAAGCTAGGCATCGACTATCGAGGGAAAAGTCGAAAGAGGAGAAGAAGGATTTCACTATATAAAGTTGAGTACAAATAGGGTAGGAAAGGTGGGTACACCACCAAACAAGAAGTTAGGACAACTACACTAAGGCTATAACTACATGCAGTTATAATATAATTATGACATCCCCCCTTAACTGCATGCAGGAAGAGCCAAGTGCTAGACACAACCTGCAGGGGTACACCAAGCAGAACAAAGCAGCAGCACGCAAGTGTAGCGATAACCAGTGCAATAGTGACAGATACAGTTGCAGCAACCCCGCAGCCAAGGTAGAAGCAGCAGAAACAGGAGCGTGCGGCGGCAAGGGCGGCGGCACAGCAGCAGTAGGTGCATGTGGCGGCAGGCCGCCTGGAGAGCAGGAGCGTGCGGCACAAGCGGTGGCGGCACAGCAGCAGTAGGTGCATGTGGCAGCAGGCCGCCTGGAGAGCAGGAGCGTGCGGCACAAGCGGTGGCGGCACAGCTAGGCTCAACGGCAGCACCTGCCGCACAACAGCAACTGGAGGTACCACTGGAGCAGAGGGCGGCAGGTGCAGATGAGGGGGGGGGGGGCTGCTTCGTCCGCCACACTCTGTCGTCCCCCTTAACCGCTATCACCCCCCCTACACCTCGCTCCCGCCCCCCCAACACAGCAACATGTGCAGCCGTGGGAGAGAGAGGAGGAGAGGCGGCAGCAGGTCACCCACACCCGCCACCCCCACACCCGCCACCCCCATACCCTCCCCCCACTGCTGCACTTGCAGCAGGGAGATGGAGGAGAAGTGGGGGGGCGGGGGGGGGGGGGGGCTGGTGCTGCAGATCCCCTCCCCCACTGCTGCACCCATAGCAGGGGGATGGAGGAGAAGTTGGGGGGGGGGGGGCTGGTGCTGCAGATCCCCTCCCTCCCACTGCTGCACCCACAGCAGGGGGATGGAGGAGAAGTGGGGGGGGGCGGGGGGGGGGGGGGGGCTGGTGCTGCAGATCCCCTCCCCCCCACTGCTGCACCCACAGCAGGAGGATGGAGGAGAAGTGGGGGGGGGGGGGGGGGGGGGGCGGGGGGGGGGGCTGGTGCTGCATATCCCCTCCTGCCACCTCCTTAACCTCCAAGCTCCCCCCCCCTCCCAACACAAGGTGCGGCAGGGAGAGAGGGAGGAGGAGGCGTGGCGGCAGCTGCTGCTGCTGAGGCAGATCCGCCACCCCCTCACACCCTCTCCCCCCCGTCCCCACGGAGGGGGGGGAAGGGGGAGAGGGGGGCGGGGGCGGAGCTGCGCGTGCGACTGCAGGGCACGTGGGCAGGAAGAAGTCACCACGCAGTCTGAGCACAAGCAAATGGCCACAAGGCCAGTTCATATGCAGAGTCATATAAAAGAAAACAAACAATAAACAGAACAAAACCTAGCAAGAGTAAGCATGCAGGTATACGTATAAAGGGTACAGTACAGGCAGAGTCAGGCAGAAAGCAAGTGAGGCACAGTAGGTACAAGGCCTAACACAGTGCAGAAACGCTGATGATCACAAGGCTGAAGTGCCTTGGTGAAAACATCAGCAGTGTTGGCCTGAGAGGCCACGTACGCAAGACGAAGCTGGCCACGCTGCTGTAACTCTCGAGCAAGGAAGTAGCGCAGAGCAATGTGCTTCGTTCTGTGCTCCAGTCTGTGCTCCTGACACAAGGCCAGCATGGCCTTGTTGTCGACGTACAGAACTGGAGGAGAACGAGGCGCCTCTCCCAAGTCGGTCAGCAGGTAGGTAAGCCAGCGTAGCTCCTGTGCAGCCATGGCCCCAGCGTAGATCTCAGCCTCACAACTGGAGCTGAGAACAGAAGAAGAGCGGGTAGACCGCCAAGAGACAGAACCGGAGCCAAGACTGAAGGTGTAGCCCTGTGACGACCGCTGCGTAGCCAAGTCGTCAACCCAGGAGGCGTCAGCGTGACCAGTGAGAACAACTCGAGCCCGTCCTCCAAGCACGAGCCCCATGCCCGATGTACTGCACAAGTATCGCAACACCCTCTTCGCAGCATCCCAGTGCACCTTTCGGTGCCTGCCGGGAGCCACGTAGCGAGCCAGAAGGCTGAGAGGGTATGCAAGGTCAGGTCGTGTGCAAGTCATCAGGTACATGAGGCAGCCCACAAGCTCTGGATACGGGCCACTCGGCTCTACGGACTCGTCCGAAGGTGGAGCTGAGAGCGAGTGACCGGTAGGCAGAGGAGTGGACTGTGGCGAGGAGTACGTGAAGCCGAAGCGCTGAAGGACCTGCTGCACCATGTGTGACTGGGTGATCCGCAAGCCAAGAGAGCTTGTCAGCTCACCCAGGTCTGTGCACGTGTGTCTCTTCTGCAACTCAGACTTCACGTGGGCGAGTGCCTCCGTGTCAGCAGTAGCAAAGACGAGGTCGTCTACGTACACGAGAACGTAGAACGGCGGCAGAGTAGCGTCTGTGCGTAGAAACAGAGAAGGGCCAGCAGTGGAAGGAGCAAAACCTAGAGAA